GCCAACTGAGCTATACAGCCTATTGGGGGTCTAATAGATTTCAGGGTATTATAGTTTGAGTAATAGAGGTGGGGGTTGTGGTGGAAATCAATAAATCGCTACTACTTCTTTGCAGAGACCCATATGGAAGTAATCAAGCGCAAGGGTGGCAGCTGGGGCCAATAACAGTCACCTGCAGTTGAGGGACATGGGGGTTTCAGATGGGTTTTTAATGCTAATTTCCTACAGAAACAATGAGCTAGAAAGAGCAGAGTAACAGACGAGGCCGGATGAAGACAGACCAGCCAGAACAATGGCTGCACCTGGTGCTGGGAGCAGAGGGAGAGAGCCGGCACGCGCCTGCAGGCAGCACAGGGCACATCTGTCACCCACAAAGCGGCCCATCCCCCAGCTCTTCCAGCAGGATAAGTAATGAAGGTCCCTAAACATTAACAGCTTGCCACACAGCAACAGGTTTGAGTTTTCAAGGATGCTACATTCTCTATACAAACCCTTCTCCAATGACTAGGAATTAGTTAAGGAAACAAGGTTGGTTCCCTGTCAGTCTGAGGAGTGATTTATTGAAAATCTGCAAAACACACACGTGACTTCGATGTTTAGGGAGGGCTAAGAAAAATCATATGAAAAGATAAATCTTATTGAATATTCATGCAAGTATCATGCTTATTACTTTCTAAATCATTATAAACCACAGAAACAGCTATTTTTTACCCCCGTTTTACAGGTGAGAAAATTTGGGCTTAGAGAAAAGGTTACATCAGTTCATGGTTACATACCCTAGTGCCAAAGCCTAGTCTTTTTACTGTCTTTCCTCTGACTATAACCAAATGAAAACATTGTATTTACTTCAGAACTCCAACTATGTGAAGCAACTGCAGGGGTGTGTGTGCATGTGTGTGTGTGTGCATGTGGGTGTGTTTTATGCAGAATTGCACTCCACCTTGCCAGACATCTTTAACAAGCTGCTTCAGGATTGGATTGGGTATGCTTTAAAAAAAAAAAAAGTGAATCCATGGCATTAAAATGTCCCAGAATAAATGTGATGCCACATAGGACTTAAAAGTTAACTACTGTTTAGCCCTGGCTGGTATAACTCAGTGGACAGAGCAATGGCCCTTGCACCAAAGGGTCACAGGTTCGACTCCTGGTCAAGGGTATGTACCTGGGTTGCAATTTCCATCTCTAACTTGATCAGGGTATTATAGGGGGAGGCAACCAATTGATGTGTCTCTCTCACACCGATGTCTCTCTCTCTCTCTCTTTCTCTCACCCTCCCTCCCTTCCACTCTCTCTAAAAATTAATGGAAAATATATCCTTGAGTGAGGATTAACAAAAAATGAAAGTTAAATGCTGTTTGGAAAGCCCATCAACCAGTGAAAATACAAAAACCAGTTATAGTGAGTTGTTTTTCTTCAAGTTATAGCCACAATTCATTCTTATATTTAATCACTTGAACTTGGAGGGAAAAATTAAATATCCCTCATAGCCCATCATAGAAGAAACCTTTTAAAATTAAGATCTACCGCCCTAGCTGGTTTGGCTCAGTGGATAGAGCATCAGCTTGTGGACTGAAGGGTCTTGGGTTTGATTCCAGTCAAGGGTGCATAGCTTGGCTGCAGGCTAGATGCCTGGCTCCTTGGGGGCACATTCGGGAGGCAACCAATCAATGTGAGGGAGACACACTGGTGTTTCTCTGTTTCCTCCTCCTCCCTTCCACTCTCTCTAAAAATCAATGGAAAAATATCCTCAGGTGAAGATTAACAAAAAAATAAAATATTGAAACTACCTGGTATAAATCACAAGTTTTAAAAAGGGGCTATCGGGATATGTACATGTATATAGATATGTATCTCAGAAACAATTACCTTGGATTTGGAAAGATAGCAACAATAGCTAGGTATAATTGAAAACACAGTAGAAATTAACATTGTGTAGCTATGCATTTGAAAAAGTCTGATTTAAAGCACTGGGGGAGTTTGGTGAAAAGTGAATCTTCCCATCCACGCACTATGCTTTCTTAAATGCTACCTCTTCTAAAATAGTTCTAACTCCCTAAATAGGCAGTAATTTCCACTTTTGTGTGTTCATGTATATTTTATCTTCTCTGACTTTTTTTTTAATCCCTTACCATATTATCACACATATGTAATCAAAAAATGTTTGTAAAGTAAAATGTCCTGGATACACAGAAGACAATTCAAGTCCAAGCTCAGCCACCTATTAAGGTATAAACTCTGGGCCAGGCAGACTTTATACTACTCCATTTCCATTCCCTTAATTTTTCTTATCTTGAAAAGAATGCATTTGACTAAATTATCCTTAAGATCCCTTTCAAACCTAATATTTCCCATAGATCATCAATGGGAACTTATGAACACTTCTGACATTGAGTGGCCTTAAAATACCAACCAATCTTTCAGATCCACTTGAACTCTTCCGATTTGGTATATAAAATGTTCATTCAAACTCCAAGGCATTCTTTCTTGATGTTCCAAAGATGCAATTTAAATGTCAGTATCCTTATTCTCCACTTTGACATTATTGTACTATATACCTTCAGTCCAACATGGCCTCCTTGTTATGAAAAAAATCCTTGATTGGGTCAGTCACTGAAGCCAATTTAGGTTTCCTCTTTTCATAGTAGTAAAGCTTCTCCAATCACTTTCATAGTCTTCAGAAAGTACTATGATTTTCTCTAGTGTTCAACTCAAAGAAACCTTGGTTATTACCTTAGTAACAAGCAACTACTCTCCTGAACTGTGTGGTCCTAGGACTTACTTTTTTTTTTAATATTTACTTTTTAAAAATATTTTTTAAAATAAATTCTATTGATTTTTTACAGAGAGGAAGAGGGATAGAGAGTTAGAAACATTGATGAGAGAGAAACATTGATCAGTTGCCTCTATTGGAGATGTGCCCGCAACCAAGGTACATGCCCTTGACTGGAACTGAACCTGGGACCCTTCAGTCTGCAGGCCGACGCTCTAGTCACTGAGCCAAACCGGTTAAGGCCCTAGTAGGACTTTTTATCAACTATTTGTATTTGCATTCATTGGATCTTCACATCCTATAATGCATAGATTATCATTTTTTATGCTTCTTGAAGTTCTAGCACCAAAAGTGTTCCTAGAATGGAGGAACAGCAGTATGCAAATCCCTTTTTAGACCCTTCACAGCAGACCCCAATTACATTACACTTTAGCATTAAGTCCTTTTCTTTAAACACTATATATGAGAATGTATCCTCAGGTACAATGAAAATTACTTGCTTACTGAAAGATTATCATATAAATTCAGTATAAGCACTATATCTTCTCAAATATTCAGACAAGCCCCCAAAGATGCTTATTGCACCTATCAAAACACAAACTTGAAAATTCTTATGAAGTCAGTTGATCAATTTGGATAAGAGAATACTTATTAAAAGCTTCATTTAAAAAGTGTCCCCCAGCCCTGGCTGGTTTGGCTCAGTGGCTAGAGTGTTGGCCTGAGGACTCAAGGGTTCCAGGTTGCAGGCACATCCCCAGTAGGGGGTGTGCAGGAGGCATCTGATTGATGTTTCTCTCTCATTGATGTTTCTAACTTTCTATCCCTCTCTTTTCCTCTCTGTGGAAAAAAAAAAAAAAATCAATAAAATATTTTTTAATTAAAAAAATAAAGTAAAATAAAAAGTGTCCCCCACCTCAATAAATCTGACTAGAAAGTTTAAAAAAAAATAGTATTGTAATCCCCTCCAGCTAACATAAGAGATTGAAAAGCTCTAAGGAATAAAAGTATTTTTTAAAGTTCCTAGTTAAAAACTAGTAAAATTTTCAATGCAAAAATTACTATTTAAAAAGTATTTGTCAAAAACCAGTATAATCCAGTACCTCATTCTTGTTTGTTGACTTTTTGAAGTTGTGACATAATATAAGAGGCTGATTTGCATTAGAATACTTAGAATGCTTTCCAAATAATTTCTTACCATAGTGAGGTTTAACAACATACATTAAAAGAAAGTACCCTGAAAATTAAAGTTATATAGTCAAGACCCATTGTTAAGCCAGGTTTGAAGTTAAAAATGCAAATGGCTAAGGAACCAATCATAGCAGAATAATGAATATCTAGAAACTTCTTAAACTAATTTGTATGCCTTCTATGTGCCAGACCAATTTCCCCCAATAATGACATGAGACAAGCATAGTACAAAATAGAGACTCAAAGCGAACGAATAGCTTGCTTGAGATCAGAGAACTAGTAAATAATGGCTGTACAGCATATGTAGCTCCCAAACCCAAGCTCTTCTCATAGTTGTCTGGATTTGGAGGCCTGCAAACATGAATACAATGTATGGAAATAGCAAAAGGCTAAATTATGCATCACAAACAAAGAACACACTAGCTATGTGCATGTGAATTTACTGCATGACAAAACTACTCTAAACTCACCATTCAAGTCAGATTTGTTGATGTTACTTGTTTATTTTGTGGGAATAAAAGAAAACAGCATAGGAGTAAAATGTAATGGGGGAAAAAGCTAAGTACATTAAAATTTAAAAAATACTGTTAGTTTTACTGTGACATCTTTTAGTTGTTATTCGCCTGAATACATTGAAATAAAATCTAACAATAAGAGTCTTTTATAAGCCATCATTTTAACACCGCCTATCGGTATTTTGCATACTAATGAAAAAAATTTCCATCAAAACATCACAGAAAGACTTGGTATGGATTACTTAAAGAAATATTTGTAGGACTACTTCCCTAACCATACAATTCATACATTACATATGATTCAAGTGTTCATTAACAAAAACATGGCTTTCAAATAAGAGTGGCAAATGAAAAATGATACAGAAATAGGAGCAAAATGAAGCAGCAAAACAACACTGAATAACTAAATTATGAATTATCAAATATCAAAAAACATGCATATCATCATAATTTGAAATAAATGAAAAGCTTTGAAAGGCAGAGAATTGCCCACGTTAACCCCCAAAACTAAATTAAGATATACTTACCCAAATGCCCAATTATAACAATCCGGATTCTTAATATACTGAATTTATTTGAAATAGATATTAAAAATCCCCTCTTTTTCTCCTCCTAATCTTCAAAGCCCAATCCGAAATCAGCCTTCCTCCTTTTTCCATTAGCTGGACATGTGTCAGCTCTCTCACATCTGCGCTTTCTCACTGACTAGAGCTGCCTGTCCCATTCCAGGGAAACACAGATGGATCCCAGATGGGAAGGTCCTGCCAAACAGACCAGCTCTTCACCTTGCCAGAATCCCCAGATACAGTCAGTCTCTCTGTCTCTCTCTCTCTCTCTCTCTCTCTCCCTCCTACTCTTCCAACCCTCCCTGTTACTAGGGCTCTTTGCCAGCTGATGTCACTAAGTACACACCTCCCGGTGGCTCCTGGCCAATCTGACATTAACTTGTTAAATACGTGTAATTTGTTTATGGCTGACAATAACAGCAAGGATATTGTGCAAAACCTATCTCTGCAAGTCCCTAGTGGGATAATATGTAGAAACATACATAGAGGCAGACTCATTTTGGGGAACATTCAAATGTTTAACAATTACTATTTAAAGTCCTACATATTGTCTGGTTTCTGCTATTGTTTAACAGCTTCTGCTCTTTAGGCCAGTTTTTAAATCCTACATGACAAAATTCCTTCTTAAAATGAATTATTAACAACCACTCTGAACATGTAATTAGATGAAAAATGAAAAGTTGTGAATTAATTTGGGGAATATAAACAGAAATGTATGCAAATGATTCACAAGCTGCCTCCCAGATCTAGACTTGTTAGCACTGCAAAACCGGCACAGGATTAAAATAAGACAATGCAGACAAAGTGGTTCTGATGCTGTAAAGATTATAAAATGAAAAATGGGGACACAGTGCAAAAATTGTTTTAAAACAAGACAAACAGGAATGTTAATAACAATGTTTAAACTGCTAATGCAAGTCAAAAATGAAGAGCAAAAAAAAACCACACAAAACATTTTTAGAAATGTAACAATGAGAACCCAGAGAGAAGGACTGAACTGTTCAAGGTCAGAGTTTAATCACTTATACCCCCAAATACCTAACATACAATAGCTGCTCAATTTCTGCTAAGTAAAAATTGATCATTGACAACTGAGACTGTACTTAGCTACACAAGATATTACCATTGGGTCCACTGGATCTCCCTGTACCTTTTTCTTTTTCTTTTTTTGGTAAGTTTCTATGAATTTATACTTTATTTATTTTTTTAATATATATTTTATTGATTTTTCACAGAGAGGAAGAGAGAGGGATAGAGAGTTAGAAACATCGATGAGAGAGAATCATCGATCAGCTGCCTCTTGCACACCCCCTACTGGGGATGTGCCCGCAACCAAGGTACATGCCCTTGCCCGGAATTGAACCCGGGACCTTTCAGTCCACAGGCCGATGCTCTATCCACTGAGCCAAACCGGTCTCGGCTGAATTTATACTTTAAAATAGAAGTTTTTAAAAAAGCAGATCAAGGCCCTGGCTGGTTTGGCTCAGTGGATAGAGCATCAAACTGTGAACTGAAGGGTCCTGGGTTCAATTCCGGTCAAGGACACATGCCTGGTTGTGAGATCAATCCCCAGCAGGGGTAGTGCAGGAGGCAGCCAATCAGTGGTTCTCTCTCATTGATGTTACTATCTCTCTCTCCCTCTTCCTTTTCCCTCTCAAATCAATAAGAAAAAACAAAAACAAAACAACAACAACTATATATATATATATATATATATATATATATATATATATATATATGTATGTATGTATGTTTTTGGTTTTTTTAAAGGAGATAAGTGTTTCTGGCCTGGTAGCTTGGTCAGTTGGAGCGTCATCCTGTGCACCAAAGATCATGTGTTTAATTCCCAGTGAGGGACCATACCTACTAGTAGGTTGCAGGCACATATAGGAGGCAAACGATGTTACTGACTGGTGGACATTTCTCTCTCTCTCTCTCTCTCTCTCTCTCTCTCTCTCTCTCTCTCTCTCTCTCTCTCTCTCTCTCCTTCTCCCTCTCTCTCCCTCTCTCATCATCATCATCATCATCAGTAGGAAATGTATCCTTGGATGAGGATTTAAAACATAAATCACACAGACCTTTAATAAAAGGGGGGCAAAGGGAGGTTTGGCTTCCTGAGCCACATTACATGAACACAGCCTGCACTAAAATCTTCATGAACACAGATTAAGAATGAAAGATCATCCACACAATCAGTTCTCTAAACCTTAATCTGGACTGCGAGAGGGAGTGGGCCTATGCCAGCAGGTGGACATCCCCCAAGGAGTCCCAGATGCGAGAGGGCACAGGCCGGGCTAAGGGATCCCCAATGCACGAAATCTTGTGCACTGGGCCTCTAGTAAAAATAAAGCTTTTGGAGTTGTGCCCAAAGGATTTAGGAGCTAACCTGAAGAAGCTCCCACTAACTAAAATGAGATCATTTGAGCATCAAGAAAAATAACATGTGAATTTAAACAAGCAAAATGTTTAAATTCATAAGTTCATAATAGTACTTATTAAAAAAAATGTTTAAATTCATAAGTTCATAATAGTACTTATTAAAAAACTAATTGACCCCTTTTTGAAAGAAACTAGACAACCAATTCATTATTCAGAAACTAGTGAATTGAGCATTTTACCTGCATTCCTATATATAATTTATTTTTTGATAGTTGGTGAAAATTGATCCCTAATGAAATAGTCTAGCTAAAATTTAAAAATTATATAGTTGCAGTATCATTTTGCAAATCCCATATGAAAACATTAATCTAAGTAATAATCAATTGCCACTATAATAAGGTAAGAGATATATGGATATTAATATGCCTCCTGATGGAAGTATACTACCACCTATGAAGCATTTTTAACAACTATTTTTAAATTGATTTTTTTTTTAGAGAGAGAGAGGAAAGGAGAAGAAAGAAACATTTATGTGAAAGGGAAACATTTATCAGCTGCCTCCTGCACACCCCCTACTGAGGATCAAGTCTGAAACCTGGGCATGGGCCGTGATTACGAATCTAACCTGCAACTTTTTCAATGCACAGGACCATGTCCAACCAACTGAGCCACACTGACACACTAACTAGGGCTACAAAGCATTCTGTTAATTTTTACAAAGCATTCTTAACAAAAAAGAAAAGTAAATCTGAACTTGATGGAATCAATAGATTTAATAACCAGTTTATAGGATATTGAGGAACATAGAAAGGTGTTAATTACAGCACAGGAATAAAGTTAGTAAAATACAAAATATGAGAAAATCTATTGCAAACAACCCTTATCTGTAAAAAAAAAAAAAAAAAAAAAAAAAAGGAGAGGGGGGGAAATAAGGACATTGGATGAGGAACTTACATATTAAAAGAGAAATAAAAGACTTAAATGCAATATGTGAACCTTATTTGGATCCTGATTTGAACAAACTAACTTTAAAAATACCTGGGAAAATATTAAGACTCACTAGATATTTAGTTATATATATATATATTTTTTTAAATATATTTTATTGATTTTTAACAGAGAGAAAGGGAGAGAGAGAGCTAGAAATGTCCATGAGAGAGAAACATTCCATGAGAGAGAAACATCGACCAGCTGCCTCTTGCACACCCCTTACCGGGGATGTGCCCGCAACCAAGGTACATCCCCTTGACCAGAATCGAACCTGAGACCCTTCAGTCCGCAGACCGACGCTCTACCACTGAGCCAAACCAGCTTCGGCTAGATATTTAGTTATATTAAGGAATTATTTTAAGCTTTCAAGGTATAATAACAGATTTGTGATTTAAAAAAAAATTTTTTTAGTCCTTATCATTTAAGAGATATATACAGAAATGTTTTTTGATAGGTTTATATGCTGTCTAGGATTTCCTTCAAGAGAAGCCAAGTTGCTGCCGAGACTGGTTTGGCTCAGTGTATAGAGCATCGGCCTGCGGACTAAAAGGTCCCGAGTTCGATTCCGGTCAAGGGCATGTACCTTGGTTGTGGGCACATCCCCAGTAGGGGGTGTGCAAGAGGCAGCTGATCGATGATTCTCTCTCATTGATGTTTCTAACTCTCCATACCTCTCTCTTCCTCTCTGTAAAAAATCAATAAAATATATTTTTTTAAAAAGAGAGAGAGCCCGGGGCAGCCGGGCCCGGAGCAGCCGGGTCTGGTACGGCCAGGCCCGAAGCAGCGGCTGCCAGGCTGGGAACGGCCAGGCCCGGAGCAGCCGGGTCTGGTGCAGCCAGGCCCGAAGCAGCGGCTGCCAGGTTGGGAGCAGCCAGGCCTGGAGAAGCCGGGTCTGGTGTGGCCAGGCCCGGAGCAGCGGCTGCCAGGCTGGGAGCGGCCAGGCCCGGAGCAGCCGGGTCTGGTGCGGCCAGGCCCGGAGCAGCGGATGCCAGGCTGGGAGCGGCCAGGCCCAGAGCAGCCGGGTCTGGTGCAGCCAGGCCCGGAGCAGCAGCTGCCAGGCTGGGAGCGGCCAGGCCCAGAGCAGCACGGTCAGGTGCGTCCAGGCCCGGAGCAGTAGCAGCCAGCTTCAGAGCAACTAGGTCGGGAGCGGCGGTGACCAGACCCGGAGCAGCTGGTTGTGGAATGAACCAGAGCAACAGAGGCCAGGCCCGGAGCAGCCAGGCCCGGAACAGCTCGCTCCTCGCCTGCCCCTGCCCCACGGCTGCCTCTCAGACATGGCTGGAAACTTTTGTGGGAACTTGAGGGTTTGCTGAATCAAGTGATGAAGGCTTAGATCTGGATGTGTTGAGTTAGTATTGGGCTGGGGGGTTGACCTGTGAGTGCCTTGGGTGGGGCCTGGATGAGGCTGGTTGACCTATTTGGAAATGTCTTTTGTGTGAAATGTGGTGGTGGTATTGGGCATGTGGTGGTAGGCAGAAATAGAATAGGTGGTAGGCTGCCTCCGCCTCATTGGGCATGTGGTGGCATTATTGATATGAGAAAGTGCTAAGTAACTGATTTACTATCTGAAAAGAGATTTACTATCGGGGAAAGGGAGGGAGGAAGAGACTGAACATAAACTGCACCTATGGATGAGGACAATGGGGGATGAGGAGGGGGCGGAGGGTGGGGTGGGAACCTGGTGGAGGGGGGAAGAAATGAGGAATCTTTGTAATAATATGAACAATAAAGATTGATTAAAGAGAGAGAGAGAGAGAGAGAGAGAGAGAGAGAGAGAGAGAGAGAAGATAGCTAGGTGTTGAAGTCCATGAGAGTCCATTTTTTAAGTCTGATATTTTCCACAATA